GTTGTAGGGGCAGAGGTTGTGCTGGTGACGGGAACAGGGCTGGGAGTCGTTCCAGGACCAGAGGTTGTGCTGGTCTGTGGACCAGAGGTCGTGCTGCTCTGTGGACCAGAGGTCGTGCTGCTCTGTGGACCAGAGGTTGTGCTGCTCTGTGCAGTGGAGGTTGTGCTGGTTGTCACCAGCGTGGTTGTCCTGGATTTCTGCCAAGAGGAGGTGCTGTGTGTGGGGCTGGTGGCTCTCTCACTTAGGGTGCCAGGAGCTGTGACTGGTGAGGTCTCGGGGCAGCCTTTGGGGGTCCCGCAGCAGAGCACGCGCACCTCGTAGTTGAGGCACATCTTGAAGGGCCCCTGCTGGTCCTGGTTCCGGCACACCAGGCCCTCCTGGCGGCTGCACTGCACCACCTGGCCCAGGTGTTCGATGCTCACGTCCGGGTGGCTCTCAGCTCGGCACTGGATCCTGGTGATGTCCTCAGGTCGGCGACAGATTCTCTCCCCGCTCCGGATGATGTTCCTGTAGGTCTCCTCGTCTCCCCCGTGGGGCCCGGGGGACGGGAAGTCCACGTCGAACCACTTGGTCCAGCTGCAGCGGGGCTGACAGTCTCTGGTGACTGGTCGGGTGTGGGTGCCGTGGGTGACACTGGTTGCTGTGGAGGTGGCTGTGGGGTGCGGTGCGGAGGCCGAGGGCACGTGTGTGGTTGAGGTGGCCTGGGTCCTGGCGCCGGCTCGATGTGGGGTCGTCTGTGTGGTTGTGGCCGTCTTGGGCGTTCTGGTGACGTCTCTGCACACGTCCACCGTCTGGCAGCACTGGATGCGGATCTGGTAGTTGTAGCAGATGGGCGGGAGCTGGTTCTTGTTGAGGCAAATCAGGCCCTCCGTGGGGCTGCAGGTGACGTCCTGCCCCAGCTCTGCCAGCGGCGTGTTGGGGAAGCTCTCCGCCCGGCACTGCACCCCTCGAGGATGTTCACAGAACTTGTATCCTTTGGCTCTCAGATTCTGAAATGTGTCAAAATCTCCGCTACTTATGCTGGGACCCGGGTAGCTGCCATCAATCCACTCCGTCCAGGTGCAGAACTCCTGCAGGCAGGAGACCGTGCTGGGCTCGGGAGGGGCGGTCTTGCGGGAGACCGCTGAGGTCCCTGGCGCTGTGGCCGGCGTTGACGACGTGGCCGGCCCTGACGAAGGGCTGGGAGTTGAGACAGGTGTTTCCACAGATGAAGTAGTGCCTGGGGCGGGTGTTGTCCTGGCTGTAGAAAGATCCCCAGGGCCAGGTGTGCTGCTGGGGGCAGAGGAGGCTGAGGCCCAGGTCTCGGTGGTCTTGGAGGTGGCTGGAAGGGTGGTCGGGGCTGTGCTGGCGGTGGAGCAGGTCAGGGGCGTGCAGCACAGCACACGGACCTGGTAGTTGTGGCAGAGCCCAGACGCCTGCTCCCTGTTAAGGCAGATCAGTCCCACGCCCGGGCTGCACAGCACACGCTGACCCAGGGCTTGGAGCGGCACCCCAGGTGCGTCCTCCGCTCGGCATTCCACCGACCTGGGCGCCATGCACACCGGGTACCCATGAGCGCGGAGGTTCTCCAGCGTGTCAAAGTCACCGCTGTCCACGCCCCGTCCGGGACGGCTGATGTCCAGCCACGGCGACCACAGGCACTCCTCCCCACAGGCTGGCTGCGGCGAGGCGGAGGCTGTGGACGGCCTCGTCCTGGGAGAAATGCCCGCTGTGGTGGACCAGGCGCTGCTGGGGTGACCCGTGTGCGCCTTGCTTGGGCTGGTGCTGGGGACAGGCGTGGAGCTCACAACTACGGGCAGAAAAGAAGGCAGTTAAGCATCAGAGGCCGGCTCTCCGGGGCCACCCCGCCCTCCCTGTGGCCGTCAGCAGTCTGGGGCCATGCCAGCGGGCTTGTCTGCCTGTCCCCACCCACGACCCCTGCCCAGAACCTGTGTGGGTGGCACAGGTGCTGAAGAGCCAGGCAAACTGACTGTGTTTAAAGAAAGCAGCTCCCAGGCCATGCCCTGAGCAGGGTCCACACATCTGCACCCCAGAAAGCCAGCATTCTGGAGCTTTCTACTCTCAGAGAACTCAGATGATGCCTTGGGACCCTGAGACATCCCCAGGGGAGGGTGAGGACGAAGGGGTACCTGTGCTCCGAGCACTGTGAGGGAAGCCATGGCCATGCATCCCTGGGGCCAGCCTGGGCTGCCAGACCCCCCCATTCCCCCATGAGGCCAGGCCCAGGAGCTGCTGAGGGCAGGAGTGTGGGTGCTGGGCCTGCCTGGGAGATTTGGAGGCTGGGCCCTCCCCACTGCTGGTGGCCCGTGGGGAAATGGCAGGTCCTCCCTGAGCGAACACCCTGCTCCTGGCCCCTTCTCGATCCCCAGGGGCTGCCACCCATGCCCAGTGCTGGCGAGAGCAGCCGTGCCAGGCACTGGGAGGGCTCCCCCGGGCGCCTGGGGCCCTTTGGCCACATTTGCCTTACCGAGCGGAGGTGTGGAGAAGGAGAAGGTGGTTGTGGGCGCGGGGGTGGGGGGGCTGCAGGGGTAGACCCTCCTCTCGATGGTGCCGTTGTCCCCGCAGCGGGCGGAGATGCAGCCGCCCATGCCGTCCGTGGTGTGGTAGATGACATCCCCGGGCCAGAAGCGCTGCCCGCCATAGCTGCAGACACAGGCTGTGGGGACAGATGGGCCAGGCCCATCAGAGACTGGGCGCGGGCAAAACCCTGGACCCCGGCCCCCCAGCCTGCCAGCCACAGAGACCCCCGGACCCCAGCCCCCCCAGCCTGCCGGCCGCAGAGACCCCGGACCCCAGCCCCCCCAGCCTGCCGGCTACAGAGACCCCGGACCCCAGCCCCGCCAGCCTGCCGGCTGCAGAGACC